TTTTTGATGTTATTTATGTATTTATAGTGTTTTGATATTTTCACAAAATACATGAATGTTATATTGAATCGCTGTCGGTATTTTACGCGAACTTAAATAAAAATAAAAGACTAAATATATCGAACTTCATTTATTACAATAATTATTTACTTGATTTATATGTATCCTAAGATAAAAATCACACTCGATTTATGCACTCTAGACAGAAAACGTACAAAACCTATCATTTATCATCGTTACAAAATTTTAATATGTTTACTAAATTCAAAGTTCTTTGAAAACGGTTGCAAATACAATCTAATTTTAATACGATTTAAGTGGAAGATTATCGTTGAAACTTCGATTCCTGGCCATGCACTTAAACGTATCCTTGTACATGTTCTGAAAAGTGTTTTCTGGTGAATAAAATCGATGTCAGCACGAATCCCAGTTGGGAAATCTAAAGGCTGTTTAATATTATTGTTTCCTGACGTACATACAAACCATAACGCAAAGAATACGTTTCAAATCTACAAAAGATGGGAAAATATAAATAAAAAAAGTGTCAAAACATCCAGCTGTCACGAATATATATGAGATACGGAATTACATTTTGATGGATGGATGGATCCCCACGGAATTGATGGAGGAGGCAGTCAATGGTTGTGAGATAAATAGCCATTTGATCCGAACTGCTGAATGGTTAACAAATGGTCACGTGACGTCACGAGTTTTGTGCGTCCGACCTGCGTCACTGTACAATGCCTTTATCGCGTTATTTATAGAAGGCTCCGGATCACCCGTTTTCAGCGCGCGACCTCTACACATTTCCAATATTACAGCGGGCCTAATTGTACCACGTGTAAGGACTAGAAGTCTTGCATTCGCATGACGAATGATTGTATTCTAGTAGCTTATGTTAGTATTAAGGTAGAAGGTTATCTGACGAGCTCTGTGGTCCTGGTAGCAAACGCCTCAGAGGTGCAATTCTCACCTAGTCCAATAAGTTTCAATTTACAATTTTTGAAACGTGTTAGACTGGATGTTAAATAGGTGGTTGAAATATCATTTTTTTTTTGATCACGTTGTATCACGAATCACTATTTAACAAAGGAAAAAAAAGCCCATGTTGAGATGTATATAGCTAGGGTATTTATTATATCGACGTAGGAAAACGTATTTGCTATAAGCCGCAAAATAAGAAATGTTCACTAGAGCCTTTTACGAAAAAACGTAGTAGTAGTTTAGGATATTAAAAACGTATTTTTTATTTTTCTCGTTTTATATGTTGGCTGTAAAGATATCCCACTCACTCAGCTGTTGTCCGTGTTTTTGTGGCTTACAACAAACTAAACATGGCTTCTCTTATTAAAACTTATTATTTTAATGACTAATAACATAGTCAACAAAATCAAATATAAATTAAATCAAATCAGATTAAAAAAAACATAAGAGTAGGCAATTAAAGAATATTATTCTGTTAAAAAATTTTTTGACTGCAAAAATGGCGTAAGCAACAAATGCATAAAATATACTAATTTTTGGTAGACTTACGACTTAAAAACACTAATATTTTTCAAAAACCTGACGGCTAAGTGGTTATTTTTCGTCGTAGAAATATGAGAACCAGACCAATCGATGCAGTATTTGTTACTGATAAAAATGATGTAAAAACGTAATTACGATTTTTTGAGGCTTACAGCTAATACTTTTTGGTTGATTTGTTAATTCTATTGTTGTGGATGCCGGTTCAAGTACTGCCCGCGTCGTATTTTTTTAATTTATAATCGTATTTTCATTCGATAACCATGTTTGTCGTCCTCTATCATAAAAAAGTGATATTGCGTCTTCTTGAACCCCAAAAAGGCGAAACGGAATTTAATTCTTCTGCCTAATACTTAATGCACCTCCTCTGTTGTGAATACTTATGTTAATACCATTCATACATTATGAGCTAAATACGAAATCAGACATTAAAAACATTCTGAACACAGCTCTTTAAAAAATTAATTTCACATTTCCAAATGAAATGAGCCTACATAATGTTATGAACTTAACGTTATTAATCAGAAGCATAATTAATTAATAAAATTAATAAATCATTGAATTTTTCGATTCAGCGATGTCGACCCGTCGGCTGCAGATTGGAAATCAGTCCGTATTAATTTCATTATGGGTATGACGAAAAACTATCTATCGAGGCTGACGCGGGAGTAATATTTTATCCGGCTGTAACTTTTTTATGATGCTGTGGCACCGACGAGTATGGGGTTGATGGAAGGCGAAATATCCCAGTCATATGCGCCGCTACCTATTTTTGGTTTGCATATTCGGATACTGACAATATGAGTATATATACTTATAAATATATATAAAAAGAAAATCTATAATTGACAGTCTTTACGTACTAAAGTCACGTGCGGACGGCATCATCAGAAGATGTTAACCCCTCGATTCCTCGAAGAACTATGAAAAATTGAAAATGAATTATTTCAAAAATAGTACAACTTTGGTCTTTATAATATTCACTAAAATAACTGCAAAAATAAGACAAAGCATCGTTTCTCCTTTTTTTTCTTTTCGTTTTTAATTATAATTGCATTTATAAAAAATAATATATTTAAGATAGTTTTTGATAGTAGTTGTTCCTGTAATTTTTTTTCCAGCAATTAATATTTAAGCCGCTATCCGTACCACCGCTGGGGTGGGGATTTACACCAGCGGTGCGTGATCATTTTGATCCCCGGTAGGCCTAATCCACGTAAACAATCAGGTTTTTAAGCAGGGCAACTATTAAACTTTTTGAAAACTTATATCTTTCACATGTTGCCACTATATAGTTTAAAAAAAAAAATAAACTTTTCAAACGTTATAACTTTGTAATTTCATCTTGAATGATATTCTTAAGCTGCAAAGCATAAGACGTTGAACCTTAATACGCAAGTGTTAAGGTTGAAATTACATTGAGCGAGAGGGACATGTATCGATAAGTTACAAAATTTCGACGATGAGGTGTAGGACTCGGTCGCTCAATTAGTAGAGCAATAGCACGGAACGCTGACGATGCCGGTCCAAGTCCTGCCCGAGTCGAATTTTTTTTTCAATTTTCAAATTATTAAGCTCTTATTATTTTACGTTACGGTGATTTGTAGAGGCTAATATTCATACCACCGACGTAATATCTTGATAAAAGGAAGTCTAATATGTTTCAGATAAATTAAATTTAGTAACAAGTTGAATCCGCGCGGGAGTTGAACCACGACTATCATTAGTAAAACCATTGTAGGAAAGACCCCGTCAACTTTTTACTTTGCTATAAGAACAGTTAAATATCCCGAAAGCTCTTTACACAAGCGGGTCACATGACTGAAGTTGTTTACCAAATCATTATCACGTTTCAGAAAAGTTTTAACCCACGCACAGCGCGAGGTTTCCCATTATTTGCAATTCGTTTACAAAAATAACATATTATGTCTGAAACCCGGCCTGAGTACATCTTGAATATTGAAGGGATTGATTGCTTAGTGAACTTCCTAGAAAGCCCCTTTCAACGAATATTAATTCTACGAACTATTACACCATATCAAGGGAAAATTAAAGAAGTGTATGTTCATATCTGCTTTATTGAATCACAAGTAATAAAAAACGTCGTTCGCTTGACATTATATTTTTATTTTTTACAATCGATAAAGTGTTTCCTTACAAGACATTTTTAGTTCGATCTGCCTTATGTTCACTGAAAAAGAACAATTATCGCAAATCTGAAAACTTTTTCAACGCAACATACATTAGTAAATTTCCGTAGTTCAGACGTTTAGAGAAAAATTGATTTAACAAAAATACGTTCCAACTTTTGGCTATAATTTGTGAATGAAGCAGCTGATAAACGTATACTGGTACTATAATAACACAAGTGCAACAATTACTAAAGAATTTACGATTAAATACTAGTAGGTATAAGAAAAAATTCACAGTTTTAAAATAACATCAAAAAAAAATTAACAAAAAGGCACTCTCGCGCATCCCATTCATCAAATCTGAATAAGTCTGTACAAGTCTTTATAATTAACTAACTAATCACGTAGAATTGACTATGAGAAATATTTTACGGAAGTTTTTTTTCCATTTAAACAATACAATAATTTTAATCAATCTTTGGTACTTCTTTGGAAAATCATCTTAGACTCATGTTTTTAATAGCTACGAATCTACTTAATAATTACATTATATCAGATTGCCAAAATGTATGACATTTTTGTAGTGCTGTTGAATGGTAACAATGTAGAACATTGTAGACTTACAATGAAACTTACGATCGGTTTTTATATTTGTCATCTGCCATTTTCTTTATTGTAACTGATGATTTCAACATATCGAAAATGTTGCTTTGCTCCAGTAACAATTTTCGTTGCACTGTCTTCAAATACAGCTTTGCAATTGTTAATAATGTTCGACTCAAAGTCTTCATAAATAAATTACTTTATAATATTTACATTTTACCTAAATTAAGAAAGTTAGGTCATAATCTACCTATGTATTTAGAGATTGGTGCCTACGGACTCTTCTGTTATCTGTTTAAAATTATTATTGTCATCAACATTAAATTATTGATGAAAATATCATTAATAATGGTCATAAATAGTATCAAACCAAACTACATTTACACTACTGTCAGTAGTTTTACGCTAGTAGTACACATTTAAATTAAGCCACTTTAACGGTTTATAGGTCAGTTAAATTATTGATTTTTAAGGCTTTAACTATATATCGCGTTTTAAACCGTTAAGTTTTATTTAAATCTGTATTACACTGCTTAATTTTTGGAACAATACTTTCATATCTTATTTTATGATGTGTCGTTTACCTATAAATAAATCACAAAACAAACATAAAAGATAAAGAAGATGGAATGAAACATGTTTTTAATATGTACTAAAGTGACTGTTTGAGCTCATCAATGAAAAATCTAAAAAAATAAAATGACTATATGTCAAAATCCGTGGCTCGTTGATATAATTCCTCTATACACAGCTTTCCTGATGAGCAGCAAGGAGTGGTGTTCTGGTGGTCACTACTTCTCTATGCGACCGGATGGCACCGTTGCTAGAGCTGCGTTCATTCTGGAATAAGAATAATTCAAGAGACATATAAAACCAATCCTCTATGACTCAGTTATAGAACTAGTAGCTTAGCATTGTGAATCTAGTTCTGGGTTTGGATCCTAGCGCAGTATTTATTATTTGTAGATTTTAATTTAAATTGCGTTTCGAGTCAAAGTATCAGAAAACAATAGGCGGACAACGCATCTGGTTTAGATATTATAGGATAAGCAAAATACCCCACACTTTTCATCAAATAGACCCCTGAAAAGAAAATATTAGTGACGCGTAGTCTTTTAATAACAATGTCGAATTATTGATTTACTTAAATCCAGACGATTGATAAATGTGTGATTTATTTATTTTATTATTCTTAGAGTACAGTACAGAAACAACAAATGAAATCAAAACCGACACATAATATGTTCGTCGCGATATTGAATATTAAAAACTATTTGCTGTTCTCCGATGGAAAATTCCGTTTATAAAGCAACATTAAAATTATTGAAGTCTTTCACGATTGAAAATATCTCGGTGAATTTTCAGTTTCTCAATTGCTTCAAACTACTTTAATTGCGCGCTCAAATCACGGCCGGAAGAGTAAATTAAAGAAAAAGCATCACATCCAACATTATTTCCTTAATTATACGTTTCTTTTGAGCGATTTAATGAGAGAAATCGATACGATCTTTCTTTCATTGTGCGATTTGAACATTGAAATTGGAACGCAGTCTCTGAATGTTTTATTTTGTATAAAGTATTTTAATATTTGTAAAAGTGCACTTAATCATTATAAAAATTATTGAACCGGCGCGATACAGCGAATGTATTTTACGCCAGCGTTCATTCAATATTAAACAATAAAAATGTTATGTTTCAGTACTTATAAATGTTGTGAATTGTGTATGGCTTTCGCGGACATTGCAAAGCTATGGGATGACATCATTAGGGGACGTCACTCCCACGTGATGGCGAACTAGTATATATTAATACAAAAAATAAGTTTTTCGTTTTGTACTTTTTCATATTTCTTATAAAAATCTGGTTAATAAACCGGTGGGAATTTAACCCACGGGTTTAATTCCCACCGAGTCATAGAGGTTTCTATCAATATATAATTTATTTATTTATGTTACAGTTCTTATTGTTGGTTCTTATATTATTAAATTGTCTAAATTCCGTCCGGGCCACGAAGGATCATCTTCAGATTGAATAACCTTGTAGCTTAATCGCGTTAGATCTGTGGATTTCCGAATATCCAAAGCCTTTTGTAAATTGTATAATTAGAAACGTAAAAAATTAAATTAAAACCTTGAAGTAAGAAAAAAAAAAAAAAAAAATTTAACTTTAAATTTAATACAGTTAAAAAAAAAATCTATTTGACAGTCTTTACGTACTATAGTTACAAGATTAGCAGAAGTAGATATTTTGGTTTGGTATTTGCATTCTCCACATCCAATAACATTTCGGATAAAAACCTTAGTACGCAAGTGTTAAGGTTGACATTACACTGCGCGAGAGGTGCATGTATCAATAAGTTGAAAAAATTCGACGATGAGGTGTAGACCGGTACTCATGAGAGCAACAACACGGAAAGCTGACGATGCCGGTTCAAGTCCTGCCCGAGCCGAAATTTTTTTTTTCGATTTTTAAATAACATTTCGGATAACTAACTTTGGCCCCAACTTATTTCACGTAGAATTGTGGGCTTCAAAATTTGTTTTGCAAACAATAAAAAGAAATCTCCTTATCTTTATACATATTCAATTGTTATCAACGACGTCGTCCGCTTTCGTCGTTTTTGCAAATTAATCTTAGAAAATAGACATATATTATCTGAAACATTTCTAAAAACTTTTAAAGAGGAATCATTCTTTCATACATATTTTTTTTGGTATTTCAGATAAATCATTTTCCCTGTTTCTGCCACATTTACTACTGTAGCTACGATATTGGTTGTAGCTTAATGTTTTATAGCCTATAGCCTTTCTCGATAAATGTTCTAACACAATAATAATTTTTAATTCGAACCACGAGTTCCTGAGATTAGCGCATTCAAACAAACAAACTCTTCACCTTTATATTTTAGTTTAAACTATAGATTATATAATTTCGGACATACAGTCATCAAGAAGTACTTACAAACCTGCAATTCAATCTTTTGCGCAGGCGGCGTCGTACTGGGTGTGTGCGCCCGCGCTACACTCGTTGAGCTCGAAGAATTCTTTACTTCTGATTTAGATACCACCTCCGAATACTCTGGTGGCTTCGGACAGTCTGTGTCTGAAATAAAATTCATTTTAAATAACTTTCTATAAATACTTGTTTATTTTAAGAGAATAATAGGTCTCGTTACAGGACGGTTTTGGTACCCCAATGGTTAAACGCATTGTCTAGCATCGCCTTAAGCACAAAAGGTCCTGGGTTCAAATCAAAGATGACATATTTTTGAAAACTTGGTTGAGAAAACTGAAGACGAAAGGGATCCATAAAGATCGTGTTTTGCAAAGAAACCAGAAAGTTTAATCGGGACACAGTAAGAGTTGAATAATCCAATGTCCTAGGTAGAGAGGGAATCGGGACATGGGAATATGGTTAGCAGAAAATGTAGACTGATACCTGACTTTCTATCTTCTTCTGTCCCCAATAGATAATAATAATATCATGTTCCTTTACATGACCAATTTCTTCTTCAAGTATTTAGATAAAACAGTATTAACGATTTACAACGCGAAATATATTACAAGTTCACTTATTCATAATTATGCAATTGTAACATCCGGCCATATTTAAAATAAGCTAAATAATATATATCGCGTTTATAACCATTAAAAGTGTTTTATTTAAATGCCTACTTCATCCTTTACCTACAGACAATATAAACAAGAAGATGATCAGTCTTCTGAGCGACAGATCCGACTCACATCAGAACAGAACGAACCTACCACCGCATCTATGCAAATATTCAAAGATATATTATTTTAGGCTTTTTATGGCAAGGAGATTAAGAACGTATGACTTAATTAATATGTGAGAGCCGGCGTAGGAGGTTTGTGATTGTTTTCATTTCATTATGAAACATGGAATATTTAATTAAACAGAATGTTGTTAGCTTAACAGCACGAGATGTTAAATATTTACGTTGATATGTTTCTAGGTCTAAATAAACAATATTTCCCTGGAATTAACATATAATTTGTTGAATGTTTAAAGCTGCCAACTAAGAGCGTGAAATTTGTTAACATACATATCGATAACGTAACAGATATGATACTTTTAAAAAAATATTTTCATTGTACTCAAGAATCGGCAAAAAAACAATAGGCAAAAAAATATTTACGAATACAAACATAAATCTGCGTAGCTTTCGATGAGAACTTAAAGATATTCAAACAAAAATCTTCACCAACGTCTGAGGCGCGTTCGGCCCCAAAACGATTAGTCCAGGTCCTCCAGAACTGATTTCTTATAACCATTTATTGCATGCTACTACAGCCATCTAGTGCATGCAAAATGTCAATCTGCACGCCGATCTCGCATTTCCGACATTATCGTCTACAAAGAGCATTTCAAAAAAGCCGCGTCACATCCGAGAACTGCCTACGTCCAACTACACCTATTGACCTCCGGGTTAACACACGCGAAATCAAGATAAAATAGCAAGATCGCTTACGTAACTCAATACTCACTAGAACACTTATTAGTATGGTATGCAAATAAAACATCCATACCAATGAAAAATATGGCATATATATATCATAAATTTATTTTTAAAATAACTTGACTATTTTTATTGCAGACCTTACTGGTTAGTGAATAATTACTTTAGGGGTGGAGGGGGAACAGTAGATAATTACTTCGGCTACAGTAACGAAGCCCAGGGTACGTTTTAACGAACTTTTACAACAACACCTTTTTATACCGTTCTTTATTTCTTTAATTAATTTATTGCTTTAATTACTTCGACAATGACCGGTTTCGTTAACCCAACCTTGTTAAAATATCATACGAATTTGGATTAAACAAAAAATATCTTAGTGTCTGTACAAAAAAGTGCGATAAAATTTAATTACCAAAATTTTAACATTTTGAAAGAAATGAGCCTTTAGTAAGTAATTAGAAGTAAATATTTAAGTAAAAATGATAAAAGACACACTTGAATATTAGTTTATATTCAAAAATTGTGGCACACTTTTAAAATTATTTCACTGTTTTATCCACCCTAAGAGTTATTTGCTAGACATAATTAAATTTTAATGATCTTACTAATTATATCAAACAGAATTCAATATTTCTCTTTTATGTTATTCAGAACTCGTCTCAAAATTATGTCAGCTTCAATATCAGGTTCACCTACTTAAAATATAAAACTATTGTAGAATATAATGAAGGGGTTATTTCTAAAGACAGTATGTTTGTATCAAAAGATAAGAAGATTCAATCTCTTTAATATTATTGAATCTAGTAAATATTTTTACCCAGCAATTATCTATTATAAGTTAAATTTAATGCTATTTTATATACTATTGAGAAGTATTTCAATTAGAAAATACTATGTAGCGATTTTTACCAATTGAATGAACATAATACAAATTTTATTAATAGTAGAAATCAAAATTAAAGTACATATACGAAAAAAACCTTGTTGTTCCATTTTAATTTATTACTACCCCACACCTGGGCCTAGGTCACCTATCGTAAATATCGTAACCCCTCACGTTGTGCTTTAATGACGACCATCACTAAATTTGTATAATCAGTACAGACAAATAAATCAGACAAAATGTTTCTTAGACAAGTTCATATATCAAAAAACCTTTCAATCCAGGACCTCAGAATCTCAAGTCGACTTCACTAACTACTACACTAATGCATTTAAGCAATTATAGTTAAAAATTATTTTTTTAGTATCAATAAGTTAAAACTATACCGTACGATTATATTCTCGTGATAAAACAAGCATTTTAGCATAGACTCTCTAGAAATACAGACGTTAACAATACGACATAATGCTTTTTACACCATATATTTTTTTACTCCATATTTATTTTGAACGCTATATATAATGGCTTAATTGATTTGCCGGACTTGCTTGAACTTTTAATATTCCTCGATCTAACTCTAACTATCTAAATAACTCAGCTATGCATCGCCTACCCAATATTTACAATAAATACTACAGTGATCTCGACATATTTTATCTTAATAGATCGCGTACGAAAAATAAAATTAAACGCTATCACAGTCAGAAAATTTCCATGACGGATAAAAATATAATGCAAAAATTAAAAATTTATACACTTTACTTAAAATTCCTTTATCTATTTCCCTGGAAACTTAATTAGTAGATTTTTTTTCTTGATTTTGTGTTCTTTATCATAATGTGCTGTTGAGTATATGCACAATATATTATTTGTGTATGTACATATTTATTGTGTATATATCATATGTCACAAGATATTATCAATGTTTGTAAATCTTCTATATTCAGCTTAAGTATTTTACACCATATTCTTTTTTGTGCTCTTTACCATAGTATTTTTTTCTAATTGTGTAATCCTGTTTTGGCTAATGTTTAGTGTTAAATATGTTTAACCTATGTATACTATGTAGCTGTAGGAATACCAAATAAACATTAAATAAAGAAATAAATAAATAGATGGTTTACTAATATGTTGATGTATATAGGTCAGGAACCGATAATAGGCTTTGTTAATTATGTAAGATGTGCTTTATAGAATAACTAAGTGAATTACTAGGTTTCCGTATTAAAAATTAATAACTTTTACAATGTTGCACGTAAAAATTTAAGACAATTAATTCATAATTTTTATATAAAATAATAAAGCTATGTACGTTTAAAATTAATACAAAAAATAAGACGAGCGTGGTTTGAAAAAAATATTCACCTAATTAAAGATAGCTACTAATGAACTCTTACAAAATAGCTGGAGATAAAGTAGGGGACGCTATTATGTGGGTCTATTCAAGCTAATGACATGATCCTATCGTGAAAAGGTCCCTATTAACTGACGATAGAAAACGTAAGAATTAATTAAATACGAAGGCTTCCATCTTTAGAGCTGAATAAATAGTTATTAAATTATTCTGTTGTATCAATGTACTCGATTATTTATACTGTACCTTTACTTAGAGGTATTAAATCTGGATTGCAGTCATCTGGAGAACTTCTCTTTTGAAGTGGCGTCTTTTGACTCTTGGATGATTGCATCGTAACTGGAAAAAAAAAGGGAACTTTTAGGCACTATTAAAAAAGGCGAAAAAGTTGAAATGTGTGTTTTTTAGAACATTCAGTTGCAACTTTTATCAAAACTGAATATTTAACAGAGTCGAAACATCGGAATTTTTATTTTCCTATTTTGCCAGATAAGTTGTAGAGATTTAGCGTTACCAATAAATCATAAGGCGGTTTATATGCTATTTGTGACAAATTAATAATTTCAAAATTCAAAGCACGAAACTAAATATACAAGCTGCGTTTAGAGCAAAATTGATGACACACTCTAAACTCTTGTCACGTTATCAAAACATATTTGCGTTTCAAATAATGTCTAAAACTACATTTCACGAAGTTAACATTGATAATATACAAGAAATAATTGTTGTTCTGATAATGTTATTCAAGAGATATTAGAGGCTCAATTAAATGTAACGGTCGTGATTAATTTGTAGCAATTGCAAATTTTATTCATAGTTCTAACAATGATATCTGATTTCATCAGACATCGTTGAATAATGGTGGTTGTAAATTAATTCTAAACACGACACAATAATTTTCTTTTAAAATTTATTAAGTACCAAAAACTGACAAGTCGTAGTTCAAATTTCTGTCTTATTAATTGATAAATATTTTAAAATTGGGAAATGTAAAGATTGTAGTTTAAAAAATATTTATTCATTACATATCGCCATTGGTTGTACTCAACTAGTATAAATATAAATATCAAAATTTACATAGTATTAAAATAAAAAGTGCACACCTAAACAAAATAATTTTAAACGTTTTAAAAGTATAATATATTGCAATAGAAATACTAAACTGCTTCTAGTCTAGAGTTAAATAAAATACTTATAATAATCTAAAACGCGAAAGTTACAAAATAGTTATTTTTATTTTATTTAAACTACGGTCAGATATTTCACTTAATGTCAACTCAGATCCGCTACGTTAGCGCCATCTGTTTATTTTAACCGTCAAAAGTACTATATATAAACTATGAACAGTATTTAAACATAAAATTAGGTGTATCATACGCTTCATATAACAGTTGATCTTACAAACCTTCATAGTTGCTATTATGCCGTAATCTAGTAGCGATGAGAGCGAGACATAAAATTATCGCTACAGTGAGGGCAGCACCTAGAACTCCACCAACGGCCCAGTTCACTTCCCACGCTTCTTGGGCTTCTGTGAAACAAAATTCACGATGAATTGCGTCGAAGAAACGTTTAGTCTAGTGGGATTAACATCGCCTAACGAGATCGAATTCGATTCCCGGTTATACAATAAACACAATTCCATTTAATATATTTCTTAACCGTCTATAGTTTTAAAAAGCAATATACATTAGTTAAAATTATTTGAAATTTATTTTAAGTCTCCCCGTGACCGCGGCTGTTGCAAAGTATCCAAAACGTCGAGCCGTAGTTAAAATAATTTTCAAATAAATTTAAGCAATATATACCGTGTTTGAAACCGTCAGAGTGTTTTAATTTCAATATATGCTTTAACAGAAAATGTCTAACCAAAATGCCAGTTTTATAACTGTTAATTATTAATTAAAACGGAAATATCTGCCTGACGTGTTGACCTTTAAAAATCATTCTCACTTTTGATAAAATGGCCGCTGTAGGCCGGAAATTAAGGAGATTCTGTTATTGAAGTCGGCAACATAAACGTGACTTAGAAGATTATTTTTAAAAGTAAATTATTTGGGAATATAAAAAGTAACTCCATACATTTAACATTTAGAAATATATAATTATAAAGACTAATAATATTTTTATTTCTAAAGACGATATTTTACATATTTTATATTTAGTAAAAGTAAAGAAAACGTCTAGTTGTGTTAGACAACCGTTAATAAATCAAATAGTACTCTAATTATATGACTATTAAGTATTCTCTGTAGTAAGTGCGAGCAGTACACATTAGAATTTAACACTTTTAACGGTTTGAAATGCGAAATATATTAGTTAACTTACTTTCAATTTATTTCTAACGTAATCACATATGCTGCACGCCGTAATTGTAATTACACATATTATTGTTGTTCTATCTAAGTTAAAACCATATTTAAGATATATATCAGTAACCGTTTTGAAAATACGGTATTGGACGAAATACTGCGCTAAGTTAGTAGAGGTTCACGCTGAAGTAACAGTATTATTAATTAGTCGCAAACGTTTAACATGGTAATGCCATGAATTAGTAATAATAATTAACTCGAGATCGTCATCATTACTCACTGTCAAATTAATATGGATAAGATGGCTTGTTGCCAGCGATAAGATAATTTGTGGATTGATTTATAACGTTACGAATAAAAACGGCCAATACAGTTTTTATGGGGTTTAACCATTACGAAATTATTACTACAAATGACACTACCACATAATTGCGTTTCGAAAAATACCAAAAAACGTGGTGAAAAGTGTAGTCTAAATAAATAATCGACTGTAAATTGAAAAAAAAAACGAGACAGGCAGGACTTGAACCGGCATCCACAGCGTTTTGTGCTGTTGGTTTAACAAATCGAGCTGCGGTTTCCTACACATTATCGTCGATTTTTTTCAATCTATTGATGCATTCATTTCTCACGCAATGTCAACTTAACACTTGCTCATAAAGGTGTGCATTCTTCTAGAACCAAAAATTGTATGCGTTCGGTAAGCGAGTCTTTAATACGATTTGGTAATCAATTAATTACTTTGGAGTGTCTTGTCTGGTGTGCGCATGAGAATGCCGTGCTCATTCAGGCTTAATCTAATTTTATAAATAAAATCAAACATTATTTAATTTGTCCATATACATGGTTCATAATAAAGGGTTCCTAGCCCCCATACTAAGGCGCATCACATCTCACCTGTTCTCGGCGCTAATCTAGGCGCCGTCTCCACAGTGAAAGTGACGTGTTCCGAACGTCCTCTTGCATTCGCTGCGTATACCACAACTTTCAAATGCCGCTTAGCACCCAACCGCCTAAGATTCCAAACTGTTATGGAATTCGTTGAGTTCACTACGAGACCCTCGTTTGCCCAAACTTCAGCTATGTAGGTACACGGAAGACCGCCTTCATAACCTGGGAAATTTAATGGACAAAATTAGCAACGGCTCAAATGCCAGAGCTGTCATTGCAAGAACTTATCGTCATAATTAATTAATCTTAAATAGAAAACTTTGAGGCTTCATATTTATTTTATAACTAAAGTAGCTTGATAAATTTAGTAAAAAAATATTGCAAGCGATTGTACTTTGAGAAAAAATGTACAATAATACATTAAAAAGCTTCCAAATTTTACACATATTGGCATAATGTAAATTTACAGTCTATGTAGATGGAAAACTACATTACGCGAAAGGTGCACGTACCAATAGGTTAAAAAAAATGTGACGATGTGTACGAAAAAGTAGCTCAATGGGTTAGGGCAACACCACGAACCGCATACACACGCAGTAATTATTATTATTAGAAATAGATTTCGTTACTTTAATTATGTACTCTAGTTAGTAAGTCCTTAAATTTAAATAAATAAGTGTCCCACCCGCGTTGTAATTTTTTTCCAATCTAAGCAGATTTTTATCTTAATATGAAAATAAAATTAAAGAAAACGATTAACCATTTGAGTTCTTTTACATTTAAAAGCTATAAGTTTTCCCATATCAAATCTTTCCTTTATCTTTCTGTGTTTATTCGCGGACGATTTCCATTTTCGCGAAACACTCTTTCCCCTTTTAATCCTAAATTCAGTTCTAGAGCGTTTTACAGCGTACGTAAAGTAAATATAGTGAACAAAAGCCGGAAGACTGTCAATGTCTCGTTTCCAACACACGGAATACGCATTAGAGGAGCGCCGTTCTCAGGAACACATAACTTTAGACGTCGCAACTTCTTATCGAATATGAATAATGTTTTAAACTGTAACGTTGCGATGCAAACTATTTGCTAGTATATGTGTATATTTTGCAATAAATTTTACATTGGAATTTGTATTTAATACACATCAATTAATATTAAGTAGAATATGTTTACGTTACTTCAAAATATATAGTAATGTTATATACTCAGCTTTATTAATTATTATAGCTTTTACTAACGAATCGGCTGCGCCTTACCGTTTTTGCGACTTCACCTTTAAATACATATCCTGTTGTGGACATTTTTAAGAGCATTTAAAGAGGAATAATTTATTATAAAAATTCAAAAGCCTTAAAAGATGAATACTTTTTCCAATTTTTTCCACGTTAAACAGAAAAACCGAAAAATGTGGGAAAAAAACGCGATGGAAAATAGAAGTTATTCTATAGGCCGCAACGTGATATTACATAGCACTTACTACAGGATCCACTGGCTCGAATTGAAAAAATAATTTATTAATAATTCGAAGCAAACAAACTTTTCAGCTTATTAGTATAAATTATACAATATTATTTTGGAGATAGAAAGCCGTAGGTTTTGTCACCTGCGTTCTTCAAGAAATCCTTAAATCATTTAGTTTGGTTGTCATTTCTAATTTGGAGTTTCTAGTAGAAGTATGGCTAAAGTACCAAACTGGAGGACATGAATCTCATTTTATCCCTTAATCCTTCTTTTTAAACTTCATACTACACAAATAGTAGTGTTTCAGTAAACTTGAAATCTTACTAAGTAACACACTAGATATCCAATATACAGTAATGATAGGTAAACAAGTTATAATTACTTGTTACATTTTTTTATGACAGAAAAGGACAGACAAGCATTAGTTGGATGGAAGGTATAACATCCCCTCTCAGCAAGACGTGCTGTCGGCCTTTTGGCATTTATTGTGAAATCAATAGACTGAAAACACGAATAAACTTTACTGATTTTTCATCTGTGTATGGTTTCGAATAGAATTTTGACTACCTAGCTATTTAATATCTATATGAAGTCCAATAACAAGTCTTAGAAAAATGTATATATTGATTAGATCAGAATTGATTTACTAAAGCCATACGACCTGTAAATCGTAACCTAATATACCTGTTAGGCACATCAAATCCAGAGAGTCGTCAGTCAAATTGTATACGGTACAATTGGCCGGTGGGTCGGGTCGTGTCGCCGGCAACAGTGTGTAAACACACGGAGATACTTGTTGGCCGGCCAAGTTAGTCGCTCTGCATGACAACGTACCGTAGTCGACGTCAGACACTGGCGTGTATGTGAGGACTGACTTGCCTTCTTTGGCGTGAACCGTGAATCGATCCTATTGAACAAAAAATAGCAATTTGATATCCAACTAATACAGAATTATAATAAAACAATGTTCTATTGTAATTATATTTTAAGTAAGTCTGTGGTTTACGAGAGTAGCAACATATAATGTGACGATTTAAAATACGACATATATTAGTTGAATTATTTACTTTTTTTAAATCGTTTGGATGCTTTGTAGCAGTGACCTGTGGCCACGGCGGATTTAAAGAATTTATTTTTTCCCAGAATATACATATTCACTTAAAGAGAAAACGATAATACTTAAACTTGCATAACGGTAACTAACTCTCGCGTTTTGAAAACGTTAAAAGTGTTTTATTTAACCTTTAAGTACCGACGTGCATTTTTTGTAACGTTAGTACTGATGTGAGGCCTGAGAGGCCGCGCATATTATATAGTTTTTTAGAAAAAGTGATGAGTTAAACTATTTGTTTTTGCATTATGATGAAAAATGAAGGGTTTCAAGAAAACAAAATATAGAAGGGAAAGGCATTTATAGGTCGAGTTTATTTTCAATTTAAGGGGGCATGATAGATATGTCTTTCATGTCTTGACTTCCTCGGCTTCATCTTCACATGTCTCTGGCTTATCAAAACCAAGTACTCTCGCTCATTTTAAGTTCACGGGACAACCTTGTGTTACAAAATCTTCCCTTTATATGATCTAACACCAAATGTCGAACTAATTGTTTTATAATGGCTCCTCTATCAGTTTGTCTTCCTACGTATGTCATGTGATGTGAACTAATGGAACTAATATCCAAAATCCGGTAAAAATTTGTCATAGGCCAGCGTCCTGTTCGGCGGCTGCAAGTATACACAGAGCACTTCTTATGTATTTCGTCTTCTCCGTATAATTTCTGGTAATATCAATACTAGTATCCGTATCATGCTCGCATGCTCCAAACAAAAATCTTCGCCAACGTAATCTACCTCTGATCCGCTGGAATACTCAGCTGCAAACCAGCTCTCAATCACCAATCACTATATATACTTGGATTCGATATATTTATACATATCTGAGATACCTTTGAATGTTGTAAATCTGTCACAAAACTATTTCGCTTATTACCGGAAGTCCCTGGTTCATAATATCTGTGACAATAACAGTTCACTATATACAACAAAAAATCTAAAAACTTACGTAAGCACCGACGTGAGGCCTGAGGCCGCGAATTTGAAAACGTAATTACTCACCAAATACGTCCGCGACAAGAATACTGCCTGTCCCAACGTCAACGTGGGCACAAAACTTACAGCTACTTAAAAATGGGGATCGGTATTGTGCTGAGAAAGGGGTCTAACAAGCCAAGTACCTGCTGCTGGGGCCTCTCAGACCGCACGTCGGTACTTAAAGGTTAAAGGTGTATGCATTATAACTAGACAAGGTAAAATATATGGTTTTATTCGGATAAAAATCACGGTTTCCTTCTTGCTTTAAAATCCGTTTATTAAATATCATTAACCCCTATAATATGCAAATTAACTATCATAAGAAGAAAAGTTTAATATATTCTTAAAATTTCAAATTTATGAAGTTAATCTTCGAGCCGCCACAACTTCTGTCAAGAAAACGTGCCTCTAACCGCCCCTGCGCGCGGTGCGGCCGTTATAAAACGCTATTAATTTTCACACCACGAAACTTATACTAGGACGGCGATTCCTCCTATTTTTAAAACCGTGAAGAAAATAAGCTCAATTATAATTAAGTAAAAAAAAGCTCAAAGCTATGAGAATTCCTGTAATTAATTAATTATTAATACCATATACTTCTCCACATACTAAGAACTGCTATTTAAGAAAAATAACAACACTTATAGAAATTAGTCATTAATAACCAAAATAAAATGTTCATTGAAGATATAATATCAAAGACATAAAAAAAGCCCGCACCAAAAGAAAGTTTCGACTTTATCATGGATTACAAAATACGAAGAATTCTCTGAATAAAAATATCATATATTACTCAATAGAGAGCATTCGGTAGAATTCGAGAAAATATAAATTAATTCCCCAGGAGCAAGGAATTAACGTGTGATTTTTCAGAAAGACTTTCATTCGCTCGTCTCATGTCAAAGGAGCCTCAAAGAAGCGATTAAGTAATTCTATCTGACCGAACTATTTTCATTCTTATTCCCATCAAGTAAGGCTCCCTTTGTGTTACATTAAGTTTGCTAAACATCGCTTTGTATGCAGTGAGCCCCGATTCCTACATATATTTGCGTAAATACAAATCAAAAGTATCCAGTGGACTGTATAACACCCTTTTCATACATAAAAGGGTCGTAAAATTGGGATGGACATGACTATTGTTCTTTCAGAATACATAAAACATTGACCGTCAAGAAAATGTGAGATTGTTTTATTCTTATATCAAATCGGCAGGAAATCGGAAAGCGGTTTCGATAATATTTCGTCCATCGGTGGCCATAGTAGGCTTTACGAAGGAATATTTAGTCTTTTTTTATAATACAGACATACAAATGTGGGGTTTACACGATGCGTTGTTGACCTATTTTAGTTTTGGATATTCAAATATTCACAGATTTAAACCGAAACGCAATTGAACTTCACGGCGGTGCTATTTCCTTCGTATGAAACATAGTTCTTTTAATTAGTTTAAAAAAATTGTTTTTCAATATGAGTATCTTTTAACAATGAGACTAATATATTTCGAGTTTTAAACCGTTAAAAGTATTGTATTTAAAGATTTAGTAACATTGAATAAATTTAGCGCTATTTCTGTGTATGAAAAATTACCTTCTTTAATTCTATCAACATTAAGTTTTATTGAGGAAATAGTTTTATTACAATGAATTATTAGTTTTACTACAGTGTATGTAGGGTGCAAAAATGATTTGAAGTTTTGTTCTGAAATACGACGGCCACTGTCCACTCACCGCGTCAACCTTTATCGAACCCGCAGAGTTATTGAGTGTCCACTCAAAGGTGTCGGGGGGAGGGAACGCGTCGACTTGACACTCGACGCTCGAAGGCTCTTGTAATGCCGCTCCTATAAGTTTGATCTCGCGGCTGTGACACAGCGGTCTGTCTGTGGACAAAGTCACGGTGTTATATTGGTGATTGAAATACATACGATAAGGGTAATTCTCAATTAAGAGATATTAGAATTACGATAACAAAAGTCACGAATCATAATCTCTTTATTCTTTATTGTGCAGTCTAATATAAACTTAACTTATAAAACACTTTCACATAATTTATCTGCAAACTTCTATAAACTATATAAGTATAAGTGGCTTTCTTACTTAAGATAATTGCCTAAGGCGTTATATTTTACAATGCATGGATCTAAAAGAACCATTTTATTGAAAATTACAGACAAGCATGGGATTCTCTTGATGCAAGGTGAAATATGCCAGTTATATAATATGAGACGATGCACTGTTGCCTTATTTTGGATTTTGAATATTGGACTGAAAACGAAGTGCGTTTCGATACCACGACTTTTTCATTTGTTAGTGGTTCGTGACCCGAATGAATTTTCACATAAAGTCACGAACATATTTTAGAAAAATTATAAATTTATCACAAACATGTTAACTCGGTGGAGATTGAACCCACGACTCATGGATTATTAGCCATACATCGCTACCCATCAGACCAGACCATCAAGTCTTATAAATTACCATAACTACCTTCTCGTTTCTAATTGACTTGTACCTGAAGCGCCTGATCACCGCATCAGTAGACTTCAATTGATCAAATGATCCACGCAGACCTCTTTGTGAGAGCCTCGAAATCAAACACGCTCTACACAATGCTTGTCATTTTGTGCCGATAACGGTTGTGATCTGATAGCAATTTCGTTGAGGTCTCTAATATCTAGATTAGTCGGAGGCTAGATTACGCTTTGGCTAGACTAAGTACATATATTATGTCTCTAATTGGGTTCTTTTATCATCATATTCGGTCGTTGGAGTATAAAAATGTATGTCTTCTTTTATGACTTATTCTGTTGTAAAAGATAAAAAGCACTTATACTGATTAAATGGATTGTATCACATATAGAAGAGGATAGGCATGGAATTCACTTGACCGTAAATGAAATAACCTAGCCTTAAACATTTTTACATGATGGGCTGTCGATCTATATTGGCTCTGGATACTCGGGATGCAAACTAAATGCGCTTGATCTTCGCAGTGTTTTCTTGGATTGTTCGAGACCCAGATAAGTTGTCGTTATTCCTACCCATTTAATATTCAGATTTCCAAACGATGTATAAATTAATTATGAAATGTTATAAACTGATTTGAATGATATTGGTTCCGATGGGAATCAAACCCACGATATTACCATTAGACCAACGTAACATCTAAATTTGTTATAATTTAAAAATAGATGTTAAGCTATTTCAACGTCCATAAATGTCAGTAACATTGTAGGGAAAACATAAATGAAACTTACAAACAACTTGCATTTTCAACGGTGGCGACTTGCCATCGCCCTCGACGTTGGAAGCGGTACAAGTGTACAAGCCCGCTTGATGTCGTGAAACATTCCGTAATGCGAGATTGGTGTTGCCAGTCAGAATTATTCCGTTCGCCGCGTTGTGTTGCAGAAGCACTCCCTAAAATCGTGTTCCCACTTTGTAAGCGAAGCATTGAAGTCTGCAATTCTCAATATTTTTATATATTCTATTGGCAAAGTCAAGATACGATTATATGTTGATTTGAGGTTCGATTCCTGCTCGTGCAGCTTAATCTATTTAACTTTTTATCTCTCTGTACATAAGCTCTCATGTATAATGTGCAATTAACATCTGTCAAGATGTAATTTATATTCGAAGTCAAAGTAAAACAATATTTATTCACATAGGTAACTAGATAAGCCGGTATTTAGATGAGATATATAAAAGAAATAAACTTAACATAAATCATAAATAATATTCTTCGTTAACGGTATTTTTTATTATTACAATTTAAATCTGCTGGTAGTTCTAAAAATCCATATTCGTCTTGCTTTAAAGATGTCCAAGTGAACGGAGCTAACCGTTTTTTTTTACTTACAAGACTTATTTCTTTTTCGTATTCTTTTCTTAAACTTTCTTATACTTTATTTATTATTATTTAGTCAGTAAACATATTTTACATGCTAAGCCGTTAAAAGTAATTTCTTCATTAATACAAACACATGTTAAAACTTTAAAAATATGATGCACATCTAAACGATAGAACAGTTATAAAATTCAAAACATAATTTGAAAATAGAACTGAAAATAGGATGAGCCAAGCAATTCGCTCGAATTGCATACCAGAGTGGTTAACTCACAGTTTTCATATTAAAAGCTTAATCAAAAAATTTCAGCAATTCAAGTTATACAAAAACTAAAAACGAAACATTTGCGCTGAGCTAGCGAAATTATAACTACAAAAGACCGTATTTAAATGCAAATTGGATCAACACGATTGTCCTGTATCGAGGCGAGAATATAAAATCTAAGATATTGTCTCGTCGAGAGCTTTGTCGTGTTTTCTTTGCTTTCTAGTTTGTACGAGGTTTCCTCCAGATCGATTGTCATATACATTCCTCGTTCAGATCAAACCACGATAAACATGGGCTTTCAATAATTGCCTAATTAAGCTAACATAATACATTGTTACATTGAAGGTCTATCCCGTTATAATTAATTGTTATTACAACGATTCATTGTTTTGTGTTTATCGTTAATCATTATACATATAATGATTGATTTGTTATTGAAGTGTAACTATTTTTTTTGTAAATTAATTGTCTATGGATAGATTATATAAGCAGTTCTTTTGATTAGAAGTGACACCTATCCCTAGAACATTTAAATAAGATGCGCTTTCGATTTATTTTAGCTAAGACTAAAACCAGTTTTCGCAGTTTTGTCATCTGTTGACAGTGGTCATGGGGGAATTTTAATGACAAGACCGCCTGGCAGTAGTATGAATTGATCCTTATGTTAAGACATTTACAACAATGTATTAGTTTATAAGACATATTTAAAAAAGCCGGACTGAGTTTCTTGAGTGTTCTTATCAGTTATATTGCTCTTTTGAACACTCTGTAGAATCATGACGAACAGACTGACAAAAAAAAAGAAATTACGAATCTAAATATTTTTTTAGATTTTAAAGAGAATAAAGTATATTTTATTTTAATAATCCTAGCATTCACTTAGAGTCTAAGACGTTCAGAAGAATTATAAAGTTACAAGAAAGGACCGGTCGGAATCGTATAGACGACCAATGGTAACCATATATTGCTATCATCGTACTAACAGGTGACTAATATTCTAGCGTTTAAAACTACACGGGAGTTAATAAACTGTGATTGTTTATTTTCAGAATATTTTAAAATTCATTCTTCCTTTACTATTTACATGTTTAAATGATGATTTAAAATATCCGGTATTGGATTTGCACGAGCCAAAAATAAAATGTACAATGTTACATGTCAAACAAAAATAGAGGACTGAATACTGATGAACATTTTAACTGTCGTTATGATCGAGAATAAATATTTAAATTCATATAATTTAAGACCAATTTCAATTTAGTTTGCCGTCCGTTAAACACATTGCATTGCTTCTTAACAAAATGGGGCTTTAAGAACGGGGTGGCTATTACTTAGAACGCGATATATGGTAATGATAAGGCTTTTATTTGAATAACTTTTAAATAATATGTTTACAAGAGAGCTTATATAAACAGAATACAGGATCAAAAAAGGTATGTCTACGTAGCAACTAAACAGTGCAAATTTGAGTCCTGCTGAGTCACTGTTCTTTTTTTTAATATTTTTCGAAATTTGAGATTAACATTGACGTTTATCTTATGTCGCTAAGTTGAGAATAACCTCCACGAGTTGACTTACGTTATGCTCCCAAACTACTTTGTAAGCCGGCGGGTTGGCATCTACTTCGCAGCCAAAGTACACGTCATCGCCTTCTTCTATGTCATTCGGGTTTACGTTTGCGCCGAGGTGCATTTTCGCCTCTGGCACGTCTATTCAAATATTCATTTTATATATCAAATTGCCTATACTATCGTAAATGTTTCTTGGGGTAAATATTTCACTTTACTATAATCTTAGTCTATGCAAGTGAAAATGTTTAAATAAAACAGATTAAATGGTTTAAAACGCGCACTATATCTTATGGGCGTCCGTAGTAACAAAGATCGTGAAGAAGGCGGTCTTTGACACTAGGGACCCCGCCATCTTTACCAGAGTGACCACTGCAGCTACAAAGTATTTTGAACCGAAAAAGTGTTTTATTTAATATCCCACTTTCGTTCTTTTATAGAAAGTAGACAGACAGCTTAATGATCTGGCTAGACGAAATATAATATCTTCATAACTTTCAATTATCGAATAATAAAAACCTTATTTCGACAACTTCGAAAGAATCAATATTAATTATCTATAGCAACTTGTATGTTATCTGTGATATCGCGTTTTGATTACACATTAGTTTGTGGGCTTCGACGTATATGTTTTCTGCGGTTTGCGGTCGTAATATTAAACTAAATTGTGCCTCGTAATGTGGGGATTAATTGTTTATAGCTTTATACCGAAACCAGAGACAAAAGATAGAAATTGCACCAGAAATAAAAAGCAGTTGTAAAATACTCACAATGTATGTTAAGAGGCAATTTACTTTCTATCGTAGATTTGTTAAATTTCTCGTGTTCTGCTCGGCAAGTGAGTACTTGCCCGTTCTGTTCCTTCAAAGGAGTCCACTGTAGAAGCGAGTGAGTCTCGTTTCTATCGTCTAAATCCTGTAAAAATATCGCTTAGTTCGAACATTTGAAATAATAATTATAAACAGAAATATATTAAGATTGAATATTTTGATGGGCGGTCAGGAAATTCGATGAAGACGAGCGAGACACAGGTTCAAGTTCCGCCCGTGTCAAAATGTTGTTCAAATAGATTATTATTTTAGTAGTAGTTTTCGGTCAGATTTTTAGATTAAGTCTACCGTGTAGAAATTAAAGTTAAACAAATTTTCCAGTAAGTTTAAGTAACGAAAATTTTAAAGTGATATTTATAGCTGGAATTCAACATAAATTATAATTGAAATTTTAAAGGACTTTAATTTAGAATGGTTTGACGTGGACATAATTATGTGTATGCTTGTCGAGGGTTTCAATATATACATACTTAATGTTTTTTTGTCACAAAAATAACTCTTTTTTTGCCCAGCGAAGCAACTAGTTTACAAAGAAACATGCCACTTATTTTAGAAGCATCAATATTTATTAAATAGTTTTTTTTTAATAATAGAGGGGGTTCACTCGATGGGAGGTGAAATAATACCCCAGCCACATTACATATAACATCTACACAAGTTGCGCTGTCAACATACTGTGACTTTGGATATTCAGTTTTTGGAGTGGGTATTAACTTTTGGACTTACCCGTTGCTTAGTAACCGAGTTGAGCGGTTTACTACCAAGCCACCACGTAATGGTAGCAGGCGGTCTGGCCCCTGTGGACTTACACCAAAGTTCAGCCTTTCTCCCGACCGACAATGGTTGTTCCCTCGATACTATTTCTACCGTAAGCGGCCTCACTGTAAACAAGCAAACACAATTCTTGCAAGAAATCACAAATTCAAACTAATTGTACAAATATGATAAGTTAGCTTAAGACTTTAAACCATTTTCACTAATAATAAAATCTCGAAGTACTTTTTATACATTTATTATTTTCATTTAAAGATAATTTAACATTAAGAAATGCAGCAAATCTCTGTAGCTACATGGCAACAATGAGAGATCCTGGGTTCGAATACCAGGGAAACAATAGATTTCTGTCGGATAGAGCACAGAAGTCTAATCAAGTACTAAAACCAATCGGATAAAGAAATGTATTTGCCCCATGTCCACGAGGGGAAACGGGATTTCACTATAATCCAGTAAACATTGTTTTATTATTTGCAAAATTAATATTTTTATATTAGTTAATCTTAGAAGATAGACAAAATCTCAAATCTTGGATATTTTTTTTAGATCATTAAAAGAATTTTTATTTATTGAACTGTTTTCTCAGCGCACATAATACTTACAAAGATAACAGTAATATAATATTTTTCAAATACAAAGTTCATTTAGATCGACTGTAAGTAGCTCCCTCTAGAGACCTAATCTAAAATTTCAACGTAAATAAACAGAATAATTCTGCAAGATATTCGAACAACATAAGAATTTAATTTCACAAAAAACGTATAAAGCATTATTATATCGCATTTTCCTTCCATCCACAAGTGTTTGATAAAGGGTTTTATTTCGCTTGGAACGCCACTAACCCACCAATAAATATGGTTTAATACATAAAAGTAACGGGAACTTGCTTCTTATACGCCATATACACTTGTAAGTGAATATTTTATCTGCCTTCTGATAGCCATTTTACATGTACGTTTTATGTTTGAGTAGTTCTTGCGATATTACTGTTATACTTTAACCTTAAAAAACGCCTTTTTTAAACGGTTTTATTTGGCTCGACCCGTACGGAATTTATGTATTTGCGTCAAAATTAGAAATTGAAATTTAAGCACCTGTTGTCAAATTGATCTGAAATTTGGTACACACATTTGAATTTAATTTTCACAAAAAATAAAACCGTTTCATTTTTTTTTCTTATGTTTTGTACGTGAAGTTGAAGTTGAAGAAGACAAAACGTATAAACTTCACATTGCACATTGGTATAACTTTGCAGATATCAAGTATACGTATTTTAATAAATGTCTGTATATTTCTATAATGCGCTTAAAATTCCGGGGCTTTTTTAAAAAAACAAGGTGTCAAATAAGTGGTAATCTTAAAATCTTTCACGTGAATTTGAATATAACGTAAGCTAAAACACTAACTTAGCATAAACTAATATATTAATATATATAATATAAAACGTTACAGTAGAGAAGTAATATATATATTTATTTTAAGTATATAAAGGTTTTTGAAAATTACAATGTTTCTAAGAACCTTTATCTTATCTTTGACTTGAATTCTTTAATAAAACAAAACACAACGAAAAAATTTAGTGACATCAAAGAAAAAAATATAAAAACACGTGTCAAGTGTTCAGTAATAAAAATAATGTAAACGTTCCTTGATATTACAAATTGTCTAAACTCACTCGCCGTTGAACGGATCTTATCAAAGACCAAACTAAGCGATGAGTTTTATCCTCTTGTATAAAACCATGGAGGTGGAAAATTATTATCAGAAACAATAGGAGCTCCCCCGTCGTATTCCGAGGGAAGTCTAAAACAAGTTTCATTCCTGCGACGTATATTCTGTTTAGTGGAGAGGAAACATTTCACTGCAGTTTTCTGGACCGCACCTGCATTCCCCGCAATGCAATTTTTCCTAGCTAAACAATCATTTACGCGAAACGTGATGAAAATTCGCCAAGTCCCGACTTGAACAACTTATTATATCTCCCTCTTTGATATTAAATTTCTGAAGCTAATTGATTCGAGTTCATATTTTGCGAATCTCTCTGGATTCCTTTATGAAATTCTTACTTATTTATTACTTTTGAGGACTCGAAGTTGAAACTTCAGACGGTGGAAGCGGTAAATGATTTTTTCTAACTTTTTTAATTAGGGGTTTTCGACCCGAGCGTTGGAAAAATTGTAATAAAGTTCGAAGCGTAGCCTAAACACGAATGCACGATAATTAATTTAACGAAATTAGAACACAGAGGTCACAACACTTAATTATATGGTTGCAATCATGTAGTATATTAGTAAAAATTAAAAACTAAACTATACTAATGTAATATATACTAATATTACAAGGCTGAAGAGCTTGTTTCATTATTTACATCACTCTGTTAGCAATAGGAGCGAAGAAAAAATGGGAAATGTGGAAAAAACGGGTCATTTAGGGATTCCGTTGTGTGCACTGCGAAAAAGTTAAGATATTCAACAAATTTTTATGAACGAATGATTCATCATAAAACGATATAAAAAAGTCTGTGACAACATGGCTATCTTTTAAGATCAACTTGTCATGGTAACTGCTGTAATCTCTACTATTATAAATGCGAAAGTTACTCTGTCTGTCTGTCCGGCTTTAACTCCGAAACTAAACTGCCTTAAATGCGCCCTTACATTAATTAATAAACAGCCTAAATAAAGTCACTTTTCCACGCGGACGGAAGAAATAATTTTTGACGCCCTAATAGCTGTTCTCGCGGACAAAGTCGTTGGCACAGTTAGTGTTCTTATAAATAGATCAAATAAACAGTACACGTCAACATCCGTTCAACTTCGTTATAGACAGCAGTCGATAAGTAAATAAACAATATCCCCTCTTATTAAATAACTTATGAATATCATAATATACAGTATTGGAACTAGCTCATGAACGTCGGACGTAATAATGGAAAAGTTTTTAATAAAAGTTGATATTTGCCGGTCGCGAGGTCTCCCGTTGCATAGACGCTAAGCTCGTTCAATGTTCACACTTTCGTGCACTTGAATTATGAACTCAGTGGGGAAATTTAAAAAAGATGCTTTCCATATTCATTAACTAACCTTGGCGGTTGCTTATCAAGACGGCTCATCATTCAGAATATCACCTGAATTGAACGTTAGCACTTCATACTGTGTCGTGCAGGACCATTGATATACCAACAATGGACTTAGTACAATCAACGCGATTCTATTCACTAAGTACTTTGTGCTTCGTGGTAGTGCTGATCTTACGTTCTTATAATAAACTAGCTGGTGCCCGTGACTTCGTCTACGCAGGATTAGAATTAGGATTACGTTTTATCTCGCATTAAAACTAAAAGATGTCTATCATATCATACATTACATAATTATGTGTCACTAACGTTTATGCCGTAGCGCACGCCTGAATAGCTCGCATGAACGTAGATTTTTCCTAGTTACTTGACACTTAATGTAGTATTTTGGACAGCTCACACAATGTATTTATAAATTGTAGCCTATGTGTTATTCTGATGTATAAGCTATGTTATTGGGAGGTTTAATTGAATCCATTCAGTAGTTTTTGCGTGAAAGAGTAACAAACACGTATCTACACATACAAACTTTCACGTTTATAATATTAATGGGGCTAGCTGACCTAGCAAACGTTTTTTTGCCATATAAAGTATTTCAACGAAACATTATTACCAGAAAAACGTTTTTTTTTAGCAAATACTAATAGATAGGCAGACTATACTGTCACAGACAATTTTTTTACTTGCCCTGTGCTTTCCACATTTCCCTCTATTTTTTCGCTCTCATTGGTGGAAGCGTGGTGCTATATAGCTTAAAGCCTTTTTCGATAATTGGCCTATCTAACTGCTAACCCATAAAAAGAAACAATTGAAATCATTATTGTTATAATATAACTATAAATGACTTATTTAAATATACTTACGGTACATATCGATTCTGACAGTCGCCCGTTGTGGCGACGATAGCATTGTGTTATCTGCCGTGCATGTGTACACTGAAGACAGGTGGGCCCTAGTAGCGTTTGCCACGACCAAAGGTAGCGATCTTGTATCACCTGATTGAAGGTCTCCCGAGCCGAGAGTGGATATTACTGTCTCGCCGTGTAACCACTGTACACGGGGTATCGGGTTACCTAAGAATCATAAGTCACTAGATATAGTCGAGGCAGGATATTACTCGCATAAACTACAGACACATTGTCTGTAGTTTATGCGAGTAGTACACATTTAAATAAAACGGTTTAAAACGCGAATTATATTATTATTTAATTTATAACGTAGCAGATTTGACTTTGAGTTTAGGAACTCTATTCATCTACAGTCCCCGCGTGTATATTCCGCGTTTTAAACCATTTGAAGTGTTGTATTTTATTGCGTACTACTTGCTTAAAATACAGACGTGAGATCATGAGTCTATCAGACTACGTTACGTTCGGTGGATATTAATTGTTTTCTTAATACATTTTTTCTAAACTAGTGTTCTTGATAGTTCATAAAGATACCGATAGAAGGATGTTAACAGATAATTGCCTAATTAGATAATAAATAGCTATACTTTATAACACTTTATCAGATAAGCATATATTTAACTTAATTAAAGCAGTATTTTTCTCGTATACATCAATGAATGCGAGCGAAGAACTCCAATCTGTTTTAATGCAGTTTTACCCCTGGGGTTGTGCTTCAGGGGTGAAAGTGCATTAAGGTCATTTGAAAAATTTCAACTATTTCATTTAATGCTCAAAAATATTCCGACTAAGTAGATTTACGTTTCAAAATTATCTCGCTAGTGTCAAGCGCTACTTATATCAATGAAGATAAATGGTATAGGAGAAGTGTATTTGAAAGTTTCCAGTGCAGTCGAGTTGAACTGCATCGGAATGATTGATGACGTATAATTATGTGATATTATTAACCTAGTTTAAAATTGTAAAGTACCGCTCACACTTGACAATTTTTATTTTTTAATAACTAAGAATGCCATTCAACGTAGAACAAAATGAGACTTTAGATAGAAGAAAAAAGAGATTTTTAGATTTCAGATACTTGTCAAAGTTGAAAGGTAATAATAATAATAAAAAAATTTTTTTTGTCTCACCATAGATCCATACATTAATTTAAAATAATTAGCAATATTGATAGAGATATCTAAACTAAACTGGTAACTTTTATCTTTTGGTTTTTAATCTTTCCCTTAATTTAATAAGTTTTGTTGATTTATTATTTTTATCCATATCTTTTTGATATGATATTTTATTTTTTGATAATTTAATAATTATAAAATTACTTAACGAATTTAAACTTTTATCTAATTTTGAAAACTCGTTACTAAAGTTACTTAATACTGCTACAATTTTGTATTATTTCTTTGTTTTATATATTTCTCGTCGTTACCTATAAACTTCTTGCTTATCAATGTACCAACTGGCGTAAGGAATTTTAAAAAACAAATTCCAATTTCTTACAAAAACTCTCCCAACAAAGGCTAATTATCAAGTCTACAATGTAACCCTATTTGCGTAAGAACTGAGAAAATGTGCTTACCCCCGACGACTGAGCAAATAAGTTTGAAGTCACCACCCTCATTGTAAGGGCCCGCCACGCCAGTTATTTCGTTGCCGAACTCGTCAAAGATCACCGGCTTAGATGGCAGCTCTGAAAAACGTTTGTTATGTTAAACAGCTGTTTGTTCTGCGAGATTTAGAACAATAAAGACGGTTTCATTATAAAGAGTGAGAAAAAACTCAATTTTATACAGACATAACAAGAATAACGAAGTTACTTTTTATTTCAAAGAAGTACTTTTTAAGATAGACGAGCATAGATCACCACGGGCTTAACTGACGAAATGTAGGTACAATACCCACACGAAATATACCAAATTAGCAAATATAAAACTGACGTTGGATATCCACAGAGTGAAATCGAAACTCGAATAAACCCGTACTGGACGAAATGTCGGTTATTCCTATCACCCATTTAATATCCACTTTTCCGATATTTACATTTGCGCCAGAGATATTACACTGGTTTAAAGCTAGTAACCCGGTGAGGATTTAACCCACAACCCGTTAAAAATAAGTCGTGTAAGGCTTTCACGGCCATCGTTCAGCATATCATTGTTTTTCGCGCTGTTCGGCCACGTCCACGTAAGCGAGGAGAGGTCGAAGAATTATGAATGCTTCGAGCAATCGCAGAGCTAACATCTCCTGATGATGCCGTCCGCTCATGATGGCGAAACGTCGACACTTATTTCGGGGTCACGTCGGCCAAACAGCCCGAAAAACAATGATATCCACAACTCGTTAATTAATAACTATACCTTCTTGTCATAAGACAAACCCTGTCAAAACTTCAATAAAATTGTACAAACATTAAGGTGTTAAATTTGTTTCGATAAAAACAATTAGAATAATTGTTTGTTATAACTCTAATAAACATTGAAAATAAAAACTATTAGTGACAATGTTATTTCAATTACGAAAATGAATTTTCTTCCTATACATTATCGATGCCTACATTTTGATAAATGATGACAGTAAAAAATATTACTGTTTTCCGAACAAACGACAATATTGAAAATGATGCGTTGATTAAATTATTGATTCATGGACATTTTATTCAAATTGATAAATAGTTATTGTTTGTTTTAAGGTAAAGAAGATTCAAATTGATTAGTTTCTAGTTAAGTATACACTTAAATTAGTCTTGTTTACCTCGAGCGGTTGAAAGTGTCAATAAAGTTAATCTTTAAATTTGAAATAAAGTTCTTTAAGTTATAACAGATTCTTTGAAATGTTATTGTATTAAATATTTCATTAATTGTATTGAGGAGTTAATTTTTTGTGCTGTGGCTATACTTAAAAATATTGTAATAGTTAATTTATGTCACTAGTAATTTTTTACTTAAATCAATGTAATTTATGATTTTTTTTCCAAGAATTCCTCTATGAGAAATTCCATTTAACGTTTTGTTATAATACAATTTTAAACTAATACAAATTTCATAAATCATTAACTCTGACAAAACCGATGATGTTACAGAATTCTGATAAACATTAAGGATACCCTCCATCTTCCTCCCGAGACCACGGCTGCTGCTAAGCATCAGAAACGTCGGGATATAGTTAAAAATAAATTATGTAGTAACAAATTTCTGTTCTATTTCTCCTTCTTCTTCTTTTTAATAATGGTTCTCTAGATTCGCCTTTAGTCACAATTCCTCAAATACGTTTAATGCTTTGAACTCACTACAAAATCAAAAGCTTTTTAAGTCGAGATTAATTAACAACATATTTCCGTACGTTCTCTAAAAATAATGTAAAATGTTTCCATATTTTATAATAACCTTCATTCTTCCGACGATAAAACGTGGGTCGGCTCAATCCAATTTCTATTATCGTAAATAAATGTTTGTGAAAAAAGGTATTCAGTGTACACGTTCATTTTTTATGCTGAAAAACAGACGTGACTATTACCTGAGGATTACTTAGATTTAAAAACAAAGCCTGTTGTTGTCACGGATCATTCCTTTAAAATATCGTTTTAAATATTACAACACATTTTTTCGGGCTTCCGTTATATTTAGTCTTCTCTATCTTTTCTGTATCTAAGAGTTTTTGTAGCTTATGCAAGTACTACATATTCAAATGAAACATATTTAACGGTTTAAAAAACGATATTTAAAACCAATTTTCCGTTGGTATATATTATTTTAACGAATTAAAGAAATAGAAATTTTAAGTGTTGTCTGTGTACGAGAGTGGTAAAAATATATTTCGAGTTTCAAACCGTTAAAACTAATTTATTTAAATATGTACTGTTCGCGTGAACCACAGACAATAGTTAACTTTTGTATTTCAACAAAACGTTTAAATCTATACTTCTATACTTAAAATATAAAACTGAAGAGTTTATTTGTGTGTTTGTTTGAACGCGCTAATCTCAGGAAGTACGGGTTCGAATTGAAAAATTCATTTGTGTTAGTTAGAACATATGTCGAAGAAGGTTATAGGTTATGCATTCCGATGTGACTAATAGGAGGGAAGATACACCGAGACATGTGAACAAAACGGGGGATTTTTCATCTCCTTTGGTTTCAGATGCGTACGCTGCGACAACGGTTCAAGATACCTAAAAATTATGTATGAAAGAATGATGTCAGTACAGCTCAGATGTCAGATTTCGGAACAGCTATCTACACTAATATAATAAAGAGGAAAGATTTGTATTTTTGTATGTAACGGATAAACTCAAAAAGTACTGGATCGATTTTAATAATTCTTTTTTCATTAGAAAGCTACATTATCACTGAGTAAAACAGACTAGTCTCAGTACTAGATTACGATAGAAATCTTTTGAAATTTCTATAAAGGCAACGGTAGGTGTAAAAAATTAGCCATACAATGTCTTTCATCGCATACGCTGCGAAGAGTACTAATGATAGGACAAAAAAATGTTCAACAATATTATAGAATATTATATCAATATTTACAAAAAAACATCCTAAGACCATATGTCTATATTGTAGTTACGTCACTATAACTACTTTTATACTTTAACAAATTGATAGAAATGCCGAACAAAATCAAATCGTGTTATCCATACCATTTATACATTTTTATTTTTAATAAATCTATATTAATATTATAAATGCGATATAACTCTGTCTGTCTGTCTGTCCGGTTTTAACTCCGAAACTACTAAACTGATTTGAATGAAATTCGGTACACAGATATTTTAGAGCCTGGGAAAAGACATAGGCTGCTTTAATGCCAAATAAGGGTTAATAGGGGTTGAAAAAGGATGAAAGTTTGCATGGAAATTCGTGGTTTTGAAGCTAGAACAATGAAATTTTCTTCTTTGGCTTTTTGGGAATAGGAGTGGGAGTGGGAGTGCGAGTGGAAGTGGGAGTGGGAGTGAGAGTGAGTGTAGGAATGGGAGTAGGAGTAGGAATGATGTGAGGTGAGAGTGTTGCGGCAAAGTAGCACTTACAACATAGATTGGCAGCTTTAAATGCGCAATTACATAAATTAATAAACAGCCTAAATAAATAATTAAAAATTCTACCCCAAGTCACTATTCCACGCGGACGAAGTCGCGGGCACAGCTAGTAATACATACTAATGGGACCGTTTCTCGCTACATATATTTATAACTAAATTTTGAATCTTATTTCTGAAACATTTATGAGGTGACAATAAAAATAATATTTGTTTTTGTTTTGTTTTCAATAGAACACTACTTAGATATTTCATATTTTAAACCGTAAAAAGTGTTTTAATTAAATAATAAAGTTATTCAATAACTTCTACGGCGATAAGCAAATGCACAAACCTTTACCCTTATCAACACGAAATGGGGAAAAGAAAATGATGAATGGGTTGATATAAGTTATTCTTCATGTCAATCCATTACCTCATAGTAGGACGCAGGTGTTAACAGATAAGAGAATGTCCCCATTTTCCTCAAACAATTTTCCCGATGCGTGTAAGAAATTGGTAGAGGTACAGACGTTAAACATCAGCCGGTTTTGGAGCCTTTTGAAAACCTCTTTTGAAGGTACTTTTTCCGGTTTAAGTTTATACTCATAGTACAATACTGTCTGTAGTTTACATATTTAAATAAAACACTTAATCGGTTTAAAACGCGATATATATTAGTTAAACTCGTTTCGAAACGATTTTAACTATGGCCCGACGTTTTGGATACTTTGCAGCAGCCGTGGTGTCGGGGAGTCCCCATGCGAAACAAGTTTAACTAATATGGCGTTTTAAACTGTTGAAGTGTTTTATTAAAACTTATAGTCCATCCATCAATTGAGATAGTAATGTTAGGGGTACTGACATCTATGGGGCATAGGGCGAACACAATTCTGCCTGTTCTACTTTTTCTTTTGGATAATGGAATAGCCATTATTTTTATGATGATTCACTTGATTGTTGGTGAAATACCCCAGCCATATAACACCCAAACAAAATGCGTTGTCAACTTATTTTGGCTTTAGATATGTGGAAATCCAGAGTGAAACCGAAACACAATTAAACATCTCGGCTTCTTCGTTTGTTCGTGCCTTAAATGGAATTAAATATTCTTATTACTAATTTAATATCAAATTTTCCAGACAAAATCCAATATGTCTTAGAATAATTATAAATTGTTTAAAAAATGTTACTAATACATCTAGAAGCCCGTCAAATTTTTATAATATAATATTTACAGACAGACCTTTGTGCCCTGTTTCACCAATAAAACAAAAATATTTTCACCCTCAGGGGAAAACTAGATATCACTACTACGAAATATGGGAATGTAGGGTAAGTTTGAACATTGGTCAGTTCTAGGTTATTCGTAGCTATTCGATTTGAGTATAAGTGGCTCATACGTGAAGTTATGAGCATTTCTAACTACTCGCACAAATTGAATCCTATGTAAAGTTGCAAATAATTCGTTGTTTGATACTCAGTTGAACTTTTGCACTTCATTCAAAAGGATATGATGTTATACCGGACGTCACAAAATTCAAAGGGCCCGAATAGTGAATGTAGTCACAGTTATATTTTAATACGAGCTCGAAACGTGATTTGCAAATAAATTTACAGTTCATTATTGTGTAAGTCTCTCTGGACTGTTTTGCAAAGCTACTTGCGTTTAAC